TTAACGTCTTCGTTTTACTAACAACTTGCCCTAGACAAACTTTTAGGTTAAGCAATGACCAGCTTAGACAAGTCAAGTCAACCATGTATATGGTATTGGAGGGGACTATGATTTCAAATCTTAAAGAGTTCTACATGAGATAAACCTCAACTATTCAAATACTTTGTAAATCAAACTCAACCTTATCATATATTTGTACACCTATCAATTACACTTTGTATTTAAACACTTGAATACTCAATACAAACTCAAGTTATTTTTCCTCAATTCTTCTGTTCTTCAATACTCTTTATGGTATCAAGAGCTTTTTCTCTAACGAGTTGATCCTGGTTCTTTTCTTTTCCCACCCTCCATCCCTCAGCTAAATTTCTTCTCTGATTCATCATGTCTTCTTCTTCTTCTCAACCAACTGGTACTCTTGTTTCAAGCCAGAATCTTCCTCTTTTTACAATCAATGCAGCAGCTCATCTTCCTATCAAACTGACTGCCTCGAATGTTCCTTCATGGAGGACACAGTTTCAGTCCTTACTCATTGGTTTTGATCTCCTTGGTTATATTGATGGCTCAACCGAGGCACCATCTAAGCAAATTCAGAAAACTGGAACCACTGAGATGATTTCAAAAATCCAGCATATGAGCATTGGCTCAGACAAAACAGGCTTCTGCTACATGGAATGATAGCATCCTCTTCTGAAAGTGTGGTCTCACACATTGCTTCTGCATCCTCTTCTCACGATGCTTGGGAAAAGCTTAACAAGCTATATGCCAACAAATCCAAATCCAGAATGATGGCCCTGCGTGACAAACTGAATACACCAAGAGGTAACAAAAGTATTTCTGAATATTTTCAGTCCTTAAGAAGTATTGTTGATGAATTGGCCTTGATTGAAACTGTCATCTCTGAGGATGAACTTGTGATTCATGCACTGAATGGTGCTGGATCTGAATTTAAAGAGTTTGTAGCTGAGATTCGAGCAAGAGAATCCTATATTTCTTTTGAAGAACTAATGGAAAAGTTTGTTGATTATGAGCATGTAATTAAGAAAGAGGAACAAGCAGTTACTGATCTAACTATTCCAACTGCTCAATATGCCAACCGAACTAATTTTAGGCCAAGAGGCAGGGGTCAATATTCCAAAACTGCCACCACACATTTTGGATCTCAAAGAAACTACCAGAATTTCAATTCAAACAAGTTGTTGTCAATACTGTGACAAACCAGGTCACACTGCAAAAATGTGTTATCAGATCCGGCCAAAGGATCAAAATGCACCAGCTGCCCATTTAAGCACTACTCAATCACCACAGACCTGGATTGTCGACTCTGGTGCAAATCATCATGTCACCAATAAGCTGCAGAATCTTCAACTTGCTCAGGAATATGATGGCCCAGACAGTTTGATGGTTGGTGATGGCACAGGTCTCTCCATTTCACATATTGATTCTACACTTATTAAACCTTCCACTCATCCTTTGTCTCTTCAAAATGTTCTTTGTGTTCCTAAATCTAAATCCAATTTGGTTTCTGTTTCTCAATTAACTGAAGCTAATAATGTTTCTGTTGAATTCTTTTCTAAAAATTCCATGGTAAAGGATTTGCACACCAAGGAACCAGTGGCACACGACCTGAATAGAGGAGGGCTCTGTTACTTCACCAATAATCCACCAGTTATTGACACTCAAGCTTTGGCATTAGTAGGAGTCAAGTCCAGTCTTGAAACCTGGCACCGGAGACTTGGTCATCCCAATTCCCATGTCATTCAGTCTGTTTTAAAGTCTTTCTCCTTACCTTGTTCTTTTTTTAAGCAATTCAGCTCTTGTAATGCTTATTATTGCAATAAAAGCCATCGTTTACCATTTTCTTCTTCAAACATTGTTAGCAGAAGACCTCTTGATGTCATTTATACTGATGTATGGGGACCTGCTCAAATCATTTCAAATCAAATGTTCAAATATTATGTGTCATTTATTGACCTGTATGTCAAGTACACTTGGTTATATCCCATTAAACTTAAATCAGATGTCTTTGTCTTGTTTCCTAAGTTCCAAAGTCTTGTTGAGAACTACTTTAAAACCAAAATTGTTACTATCTTTTCTGATTGTGGAGGAGAATTTGAAAAACTCAAACATTTTTTTCTCAAATCTTGGAATACAGCACTTGCAAACTCCTCCACACACACCACAACATAATGCCATTATTGAAAGAAGGCATAGAACCATTGTTGAAAAAGGTTTTACTCTTTTGCATCATGCCTCGATGCCTTTAAAATTCTGGCCTTATGCCTTTTCTGCTGCTGTGTATCTAATGAATAAACTTCCTACATAGGTTCTTGAAAACACAAGTCCTTTTCAAAAACTGTTCAATCAAAAACCTAATCTTGAAAAGCTAAAAGTGTTTGGATGCCTGTGTTATCCATGGTTGAAACCATATGCTCATCATAAGCTAGAGCCTAAGTCAAAACCATGCATTTTTTTTGGGATATTCAAAAAATCAAAGTGCTTACCTGTGTCTTGATTTGTCTACTGATCGAATTTATGTCTCTAGACATGTCATGTTTGATGAACAAAAATTCCCCTTTAAGTGTATCAATACAGTTGATAAAGTCATCAAGCCTTCCTATGATCTATGGAATCCAGCACTTGATGTCAATGTTGACACAATTCCAGTAGTTCCATCACCTGCTGCTACTGCTCCACAAACTCCAACACAAACTACATCAACCCTAGACAACTTGCTCTCTGATCATGATCAAACAGAAGTCTCACCAGTGTCTTCTTCCTCTAATTCAGCTGTGCCTGCTGTCTCTCAGCCACTGGTTATTGAATGTGCAGCTCCATTACCAGATTCAACAACAAATACTTCAGTTTCAGGTAACCAACCCTAAAGAACTCATCCTATGGTTACTAGGTCTGTCAATAATATTATAAGCCCAAAGTTATGTACACTGTTACTAAGCATCCTTTGCCAGAAAAACTTGAACCAACATGTGCTTCTGAAGCCATCAAAAATCCCAAATGGAAGGATGCTATGTTAGATGAACTTGCTGCTCTGCACAGAAATGGAACATTGGAACTGGTGCCTCAACCTGCAAACTGCAATCTTGTAGACTGTAAGTGGGTCTTTAGGATTAAGAGACATGCTGATGGATCAATTTCCAGATACAAGGCAAGATTAGTTGCCAAAGGTTTTACACAGCGGCCTGGGATAGATTTTACTGAAACATTTAGTCCAGTGGTGAAACCAGTTACAATTAGATTTGTTCTTTGTCTTGCAATCCAAAATGGTTGGATGTTAAAGCAACTGGATGTCAATAACGCATTCTTACAAGGTGAGTTTCAAGATGAGGTATATATGAGACAACCTCCAATACTCTATGATAAACAGAATCCTCAACTAGTTTGCAAGCTTAAAAAGGCCATTTATGGCCTCAAACAAGCTCATCGAGCTTGGTATTGTGCATTAAGTAGCTTTCTTGTGGCTTTTGGCTTCAAAAACTCAGTTGTAGATGCTTCTTTGTTCATATATAAGTCTGGAAATACTCTTGCATACATGTTGGTCTATGTTGATGATCTTATTCTTACTGGAAATGATCCAAAATTTCTCTCCAAGTTTACCAGTGAGCTTGCTTCTCGGTTTTCTATTAAAGATCTTGGCAAATTACACTACTTCTTGGGAGTTAAAGTTACTAATACTACCCCAGGCCTATTCTTGTCTCAATCCAATATGTTGCTGATCTGCTGACCAAAGCAAACATGGCAGGAGCAAAGGAGTGCCATACTTCATTATCCACTTCCAATGTCTTGAAGCTTGATGATGGTTCAGCACCAGTAGATGAAACTGAATTCAGAAAGCTGGTTGGATCCTTGCAATATCTCACAATCACCCGTCTTGACATCTGTTTTGCAGTAAACAGATTATCTCAGTTTATGAACAAACCTGCAACTTTCCATTTACAAGCACTAAAACGGGTGCTTCGATACTTGAAAAGTACAATGTCTCATGGATTTCATGTTTCAAGTGTCAATCAGCTTACTTTAACTGCTTATACTGATTCAGATTGGGCAGGGAACTCTGATGACCGAAGATCAACTTCTGCATATATTCTATATTATGGCAAAACACCAGTTTCTTGGTGCTCAAAGAAGCAAAAATCAGTAGCTCGCTCTTCAACAGAAGCAGAATATAGAGCTATTGCTACTTGTATTTCTGAAATGGTTTGGATACAATCAATTCTTCAAGAACTTCATGCTCCTATTTCTACAACCCCACTAGTCCTCTGTGATAATCTAAGTGCCACATATGCTTGTGCAAATCCTGTCTTTCACACTCGCATGAAGCACTTGGCACATGACTACTTTTTTGTTCGAGAAAAGGTGCAACAAGGAGCTCTTCTTGTCAAGCATATCTCCATTGTTGATCAATTGGCAGATGCACTCACCAAAGCACTTCCTCGTGACAGATTTCATCAATTACTCTCCAAGATTGGCGTCTCTAGTGGATCCACCATCTTGCGGGGGAGTATTGGAGGGAACTATGATTTCAAATCTTAAAGAGTTCTAGATGAAATAAACCTCAACTAATCATATCCTCAACTATTCAAATCATTTGTAAATCAAACTCAACCTTATCATATACTTGTACACCTATCAATTACACTTTGTATTTAAACACTTGAATACTCAATACAAACTCAGGTTATTTCTCCTCAATTATTCTGTTCTTCAATACTCTTTATATGGATGGCTAGAGAGGTCCCTACTTGAACAGAACCTCTTTTTCCCTAGTCTCAGACATTTCCAACAGGATGAATGAAATATTGCGTCAACTAATTTCCAGTAAAAATACCTGATAGATCCCTCTAATTAAAAAAACCATAATTAGGTCCCCCTACTATAAAAACTATCAATTGAGTCCCTCTACTTACACTATTGTTTCAATTAGATCCCTCTACTCAACAAATTGTGTCAATTGAGTAAAATTTCTAACGGTGGGATTTGGGCCGTTTAATCTCACGGTAGAGCAGAGGATTGAAAATCCTCGTGTCACCAGTTCAAATCTGGTTCCTGGAGGAGAAGATTTTGTTTTATGGTAAAAAAATTAATTCATCTCGGTTTTTTTTCGAAAAAAAAAAAAAGAAGAAAAGAAGGGATCCATTGAATTGGAGTCTTTGGAACGACAATTGGTATCTTTATTAATGCAAGGGCTATAGCTCAGTTAGGTAAAGCACCTCGTTTACACGCGCACTAATGTTTTTCAGGGGAGTCTATCATGCAATCAAGAGAATTGAGGTGAGGCAATAGCTTACCAAGGCGATGATCAGTAGCTAGTTCGAGAGGATGATCAACCACACTGGGATTGAGACACGACCCAGACTCTTACGGGAGGCAGCAGGTTATTGTTCATATGTTATGATATGAATATACCACACCAATTCGTTATGTATAGATTATGAGATTCCATTAATACAACCAGAACCACGCTGGTAACACAAGTTAATTCGCGAGATTTTTTAAAACCACCAGTGAGATCTAGTTATTCCAGATGCTCTCCAAATCTTAAAAAAAAAGAAAAAGAAAACAGAGGTTATTTGTATTCCTCGGAAACCCCCGCCCACATCACCATTCAAGATTTCTTGGCCTACATTGGCCAAACCACTTGGGTGGTCCCGCTTATGGGGTCAAATCAATATGTTCTAAGAAGAAATTGTTCGAACTATATAATCGTCAATCACTGACATTGGTAAGCGGTCTGTTCTTGGAACGGAAGCAATTTGCTTAGTTTTACATCCATCCCAAGGTATCATTTCTAACAAATCGGTGGGGCAGGCTCCCTCGTTTTCGCTCAAAGGAGAAGTAATAGGTAGGGATGACAAGATTTGAACCCGTGACATTTTGTATCCAAAACAAATGTGTTGCGCCCCTAGGTATTCTCTATCTACCCACATGTGACGGTTTCAGGTACATGTACCCATTCTCTTATCATTTCCGATTGGATGATCCATTAATCCAGCTTACGGAAGATTATAAATGGATAATTATTTTTTCCATAACAATGAATACAGTGTCTATAGGATAACTTTCGTTTGCTTGCATTGTATTATTTGGTCTACGTACCGATGCCTCCTTGGTTCTGGACCATAGTTATCAGAACCGGACCGACGGTCCGACCGGTAGAACCGATGACTCGGACATAGGGCCGGTCCGATTCTCTTACTAACCCAAATACGCAATTGACCCGCTGGTTTTTTGATGATTTTTTTAATTGAACCGGTTATTGACCTGGTGGTTGAACCAATGATTATTAATAATGTTAAAAATTTAAATGCCATTGTTAGGATTTGAACCTTGGCATGTGTATGAAAATAAACCCTCTAACCACTAGATCAAGTATTAACTTGTGTTAAGTTTATAAAAATAAATATTATTTGATAATATAAGTATCTAATGTATATAAAAAATAAAAAAAATATTAAATATTAAACCAGCAATTGACCCGATGGTTGAACCATTGACCCGATGACCCAAGGCCTCCACTGGGTCAATCTCCGGTCCGGTTCTGATAACTATGTTACGGACGAAGAAAAGTCGATACTTTTTTTTTCAAAAAAAGAAAGAAAAAAGCATTCCATGTATGCTATTTTACGTATTCCGTACTATAAAGAAATTGGGAATAGAGAATCTATATCAAAGAAGGGGTTGCATCTTTTTTCTTTAATTTCCTTTGATAAAGGACGTAGGGGTGCAGAAACAGGCATGAGGTTTGCCTAGAAGCAGCCACCCTTGAAAGAGTGTGTAATAGGTAGTTAGTTTATCATAATCAAAGTCAAAGCCCGGATAATGAGCTTTGATTTTATGACATCTGTTAGAGGTGTACCAGAAATGTCTGCAATCGAGTAAATAGCTCTACGAACTAATGGATCGGGTCGAATTGTATTCTACCCTTGAACTCCTCTAGACCAGATGGGCCTCAAATCGGGGCTAAAACTCCAGAAATTAGAAATGCCAAAATAGGAATAACACTTGATATTATTAGAAATGCAATTATACGATTCGAACAATTTTGAATTCGTCTCAAAGAAAAACTGAGTAGGTACTTATTTCTTTTTCTTTGCTTTTTATTTGTATGGACTACGACTTTATTATTCTTATTTTCTTTCTTTTTGATGCCCCCTCCCTCCCTCAAACACTGGACATGAGAGTTTCCTCTCATCCGGCTCAAGTAGTTCCAAGACCAGAATATTCGGAGGATTGTTCTGACCAAAATAGAAAATATATGAAAAAACTAAAAAAGTATAATTAATTTTACTACATAAATAATATAACTAAATAAATAATATATAAATAATAACTCAGTTCGAAAATCCAGGATTGGAATTGATGTCTTATCATTTATCTTTATCCTCCTAAATTGCATTGATTTATCCTAAAGGTTTCATTTCAATATTGCAAGTTGTATCGACGGAAAAGAAATCGCGCGTGTTGAATGGATCCGAGAAGGTAGGGTTCCTCTAGAAACCATTGGGGCGAAAATTGACTAAATGTAGAGGTGCATAGTAGATCGATATGAACATGACGAGCTGTCTTACAATAAACCCAGTCGATACTGATACCATCTTCTGGGTTCCTTTGGGCAACCCTCTCAACAACTAAGAGATCCATTCGAGGAACACATAGACAAATTGAAGTAATGAGTCTCCCTATATTGGGAGGCTCATTACTTCAATTGAGATAATGAAAAATAATTTCATTTTTTAGTTGAACTTTAGGCGAAGGTGTACTCCTAATGGGTTGAAGACCATATCAACAGGCCTTCCATCTTGCAAATAGTATTCTGAGTGAGTTAGTTCAGCTCCACGACTTTTTTCCTTAAAATCAAAATTCACGTTATCTTCGAACACATCAGTTGACACGTAAAAAATAAAAAAAATTACAAAAAATAAAAAAAAAAGTAATTTTGAAAAGAAAGAACAAAAAAAACTTTTTGGTATCAATTTGGTCCCTCTATACAAAATTGTCAATTGAGTCCCTCTACTTGTAATTTAGTGTCAATTTAATCCCTCTACTTGTTGGATTGGACCAATTGAGTCCAGTCCTCGAATAAGAAAACTTTGTACTTCAGTCTACCATAGAAACTAGACCTGTTCAAGGGCAGGGTTACTCGTCCAAGCCCGTAAGCCCGGTCGATATTTTAAAGGGATTGGATAAGAATTTTAAACCCATTGGATGGGCTTGGGCAAAAATTTAAGAATGGACCGGGCTTGGGTATAAGAATAAAAGCCCAGGCTCGGTCCAAGCCCGACCCGATTAAGTAAATATACTTCTTTTATTTTTTATTTATTGATATATAATATATGGCATAAATCATAAATGCCACTTTGCACCCTTAAGTTTGTACAGACTGCCACTTTGCACCCAACTTTTTTATTTGACCAAAATGCACCCTAAAGTTTTATTTTTGTGCACCATGCACCCTCCGTCACGGTAGGACAAACGACTCTATCACGGTGTCCGACGTAGCATGCCACATGTACCAAAAAGTGACACATGTCACGCCACGTGTACCAAAAAGTGACAGGTGGCATGCCACATGTTTCAAAATGTGATATGTGGCATGCCACGTGCACAAAAGGATACTTGCCACGTGTCATTTTTTTGTCCATGTGGCATGCCACGTCGGACATTGTGACCGATCCGTTATGTCCTACAGGACAGAGGGTGCAAAGTGGCACAAAAATAAATTTTAGGGTGCGTTGTGGTCAAAATAAAAAAGTTGTGTGCAAAGTGGCAGTCCGTACAAATTTAAGGGTGCAAAGTGGTATTTATGCCGATAATATATATTAAATAAAATTTATACATATACCGTATTTTAAATAAGAAAAAGATGAATAATACATATATAAATTCTTATTATCAATAAGAGTATTGTATTATAGGTAGTATATATCATATTTAAGATTTATAATTTTATTTATATAATTAATTAATATAGTTTTTTGGCGATAATTAATTAATATAGTTTAACTCTTAAATTAATTAATATTAGACCGGCTTTTGGATGGGTTTTAATCTAAGTATTTAATAAATAGGTCGGGCTTGAGCAAAAGTTTGAAGCCCGTTTTATAAATGGGCCGGGCTTGGGCAACAATAATGACATTAAAATTAAGGCTAGGCTCGGCCCAAACCCGGCCCATACTAGTCTAATAGAAACCGGTAGCATCACTAAACCAGATTAAATGCTCAAAACGATGAGGCAAAAAGAAAAAGAGATTGATGCAAAATTCAATCTTGATACATGTTTTTGAAGAGAACATAAATTGGAAGCCGAAAGTCTTGATTCCTACAAACTAAAGATCCCTATATTATACAACTGTTATGGATTGATAAACCAAACAAAAGAAAGAACAAGAAGAAGGCCTAAAACTCTTGAGAAGCAGATCCAACATCTCTTTGTCCCTTCATTCCTTACTGCAAGTTGGATGTGTCGAATATCTACTGGAATAATTCAATGGCTTAATACCCAAATTAACCCCTTAACTATCCATTTGGGATAAATTGGCCCCTTAATATTTTTTTGGGACAAATTGACCCCTTAACTTTTAAAAATGAAACAAATTAGCCTTGTTCTGATGGAGCGTTTAACGTCCGGAAGGTGAGGGTGCGTTTGACTTCCGATTAAGGCGATTCCAGCTGTTTTTGAAATGTATCGACGAGAAGAATATGATGGTTAGGGAGGTGAGAAAACTAAGCAATCGAAAATTTTCAGATCTCGGGTCAAATTTAAAACTTTGACTAGAAAGTGCGGTCTTATTCGGAGTCGGAATGGGCTGAATTTCTAATATGTTACTATCTGAGGGATGCTAAATCTAGTCGTTGCAAAGATGAGAAACGATAATGAAGAAAATAAGCAATGCCGGTCTACTGGCTTGGAAACGACCTAAATTTATGATTTGTCACTCTTTAAGGGATGTCGGTCTTATTCGCCTCATTTTCTTTGTTATTTTTTCTCACCTTCACAATCAGTAGATCTAGCATCCTTCAAATAGTGACATATCGGAAATTCAGCCCGTTCCAAT